ATTGTTGGCATATAGGCTCCTATGAGCAGACCTCGATATTGGCTGAAAAGTTATTGTTATAATTGATTTGGTTATGGTTAGCAGTGAAATCCAAGACGGGTGTTTCGTCCTATTTAAGACCCATTACCTGGATGCACCTACACCCCGTTGAAATTTAAACTGATAGGTACTAGGTTTGAATTTCAGTGAGAACACTCACTGGAGTGTAGGTAAATCCAACTAACGAGTCCTAACCAAGACGAAACGTGCGTCATAGATTCCACTGCTAGCCATAACCAAGTGAATTATAATTTACTTTCTTGTTGAAAAATATTTCGGATATAATTATTAAATTAAAAAACGCTCGTTGATTTTCTTTCTTTTTACTGCATATCTATCTTGTTTATTTGTTATGTGAATACGCTAATGATGAGAAAGGTAAAAGAAATAAATAGTTATGCTTAGTTGAGATTAAACAATCAATATGAATTGAATTAAGCATCTTTGTTCAAAGTGCATGTGTAAATCGAGTCATCTATTTACATCATTCATTGTATTATTTATTCTTACTAACTCTTATACACTGGTTTGAAAATAAAACAATATTATATTTGAACCTATGAATTAATAATTGATGTTTTCGTTTGTAGGCACGTACAGAAAATGCAGTCTATTTCAGTTTCTTTACTTGTTAAATGAACGATAAAAAAAAACCCCCAGTTTTGCTATTTGTTGAAGAAGCAATTTGTGACATCAAGAGTCTATATATATCTACTTTACTGAGACTTTAAAACTATTTCTACTATAGAAATAAGTAATAGCATAATCTTCTTGAAAATCATAAAGTCAACTCCGAAATAGTGAGTAATTGTTAGCACTTACAGCTGGTAAATGGTTGAAAATTCAATCAGAAGGCAATGCTTATAGTTAGCTTTGGATATTTAACAACCTGTGAGCTAAAAAGGTGGAACCTGGAAAACTCATACAACCTTAAATTACACTTTAATTAAGACGAGTTCATAACCAACTAGTTTTATCATTAAAACTGTTTACTGCGTTACAAAGAGAGAAAGACAAAACCAATGTAGGACTAGGCATTACTGTGAAACGGTCCAAGCTGACATACCTCACATCAGTATGTCAAGCAAAAATGCACCAAGGTGAAAGGCAAAGAAATATAGAAGAAAGCAGTCAACGTAAGTAAAAAGTCATCATCATCTAGTCCCTAACTACTGGTGTCCGTTGCCACGTGGACTCACACACAGCTCAAACCAACAGTCAAAGACTTTATGTAATGATGCTATTTCAGTCTGACCAGCCTCTGATATTTTTCCAACCTGAACCTACTTCGACTAACATTGTATGACAGAGCAGATGATGGCTAAGTATGCACAAAATATGTCTCAGCCAGCTGAATAACTGACTAGCTTTGCTCTTCTCACCGGAATTCTATGCCTGACATCTACGTTGCTGACACCACGACACACGGCCTATGCTACGAAGATAACGGTGGTTTAACATCTAAGACCTTCTCATACTACCTTTAATGTCCATGTTTCCCAACTATACAGTGGCACAGAACGAATTGCAGTAGAGGACATTTGGCCTTTAGTAGACGAGCGGATATCATGATAGAACCATAAATGGCGTGAGTTGGCGATAATCATACGAGTCTTTTGTATCCGTGTCGAGATTTTGTCGGTCACTGACCCATCAGGGCTGATACAACTTCCCAGGTAAAGGAAGTTATCAACACGCTCAACCGCTTCACTCCCTACCGTTAGACAAGGTGCTATTAAAGACCAGTCCTGGAGCAACAATTTGCATTTGGGAGGTGAGAAATATATCGGATAGACACTCAAGTTTTCCAGAAGACCCTGCATCTTGTCAGAGCCTTCATTTAACAAAACTGTGTCATTTGCGTACTCTAGATCCACTAAAAATTTTCCTGCGACAAGACTAGTCCTCATAAAATCAGACGACGGGGGAAACTCCCATAAGTACGTTCATGATAAAGTTGAATAAGAAAAGAGAGAACAGACATTCTCAACGGGCACTACTCCATGTACACAACTCACCTGATAACTGATTGTATGCCCTAACAAACCCAAGTTCTTTTGAGTATAGGACATTCAACAAAGTGATGCACTTGGCCGATATCCTTTTTAGTCAGAGACATTGCCGAAATACCTCTGGATTGAGATGCAGTCAAATACCATCTTCAGGTCGAGAAATATAGCTAGTATCGGGTGTCTTCAAGTGTGCCTGTACTCCAGGACCCAGAGGAGGGAGAATATCCGGTCAATATACACACAGCCACGCCTGAAATCTTCCTCGTTTTCTCGGGTTTGCTGTTTCCGAGCTCCCTTTAGGTGTCTAGTAATTATATAGAATGTAGGATCTAAGACACAACGTTCGCCAGGCTGATTCCCCTGTGACTATCACATGAGGATTTTTCTTCTTTTATGAGGGTTAGGATGATCGGTAATTCCGACCAATCAGAGGGGATCACAGGTGATTCCCATACGTTGGCTTACTCTTCAGTTAAGCTGACCAGTGATCTTCAACCACCGCCTTTAACTTTCGATACGAGCCGGCGTTAACTTGCTGCCCTTCCTCGTTTCAGGTTGCCTACACCTCTCTCGACTTCTTCAAGTGTTAGAGCATCTATCTCAATGTTCAAGTCACGACCCAATTGGATAGCGGACAATGGAGTGGTAGCTGGAGGCTAGTCGAACCGTCCCTCGAAGTTTCCCACCCATCGTTCCAGTTGCCTATCCTGCGAGTGAATCACAGACCCATCTTCTCCGCTATACTCTCACTAATCACTTATCTTCTCGCCCCAGTTTCATTGATAAGTCTAGATAGCTGCCTACTGTTACCTATCACCCCTAGCTTTCTTCATCTATCTAGCTTCCACTACCAACTACTAATTACGATCATTGGGTAGATTTCTTTTGATTCTAAATATCAGCTGCTTCCGCCCCTCGTTGTGATAGCAGCATACATCCATTAATTCAGAAGAGGCTGCAAAAATCCACTGGTTCTTCCTAACCATCTTCTAAGAGCCGGGTAGTTTTCAACACCTTTTTTTCACAGCAGACGAGATGGCACCAGGCTTCTTCTGGATGACTAATGTTGTTCTGTACTGATAACAGTCTAGCCAGTTCTTCTCTGGAAGCAGTCTTAGTAGTCTCGTCGTTGAGCTGTGCTCACGATACCCTTGTTGCCGTAGTTTTCCCACGTCCATAAACGAGTGCTCGAAAGGAAGCATAATCGCTGTCCAAACACGTGCTTCATAGGAAGCAGAAATCTTCCTTTGACCGTCTGTAGAGACACCAGATAGGGATATGGTCTATCTGTCAACAGTTGAGTTGAGGTCGGTGGACACCATGTCAGACAGTGTTCGAAGTTTCCGCTAGCCAGAAATTGATGGTTATCTGTGTACAATTATAGCTGGTGCCTTTCTGCCTGATTTAACTTACCCACTTGCACATTGAAATCCCGTGCAACAACTACCATATCTGAAAATTTAGCTTTCAACAGAAGCCTAGATAGTTTTCGGTAGGACTTATCTTTCACTTCATCCTACCTGCAGTCAATGAGTGCATAAGCGGAATATAAAGTAACAGTGACGAGTTTCACTATTCTTTTGAGTCCTCACTGTGCCGTTCAGTCGAACAGTGCACAGATGAATGTATTTTCCGCCGTCGCAGTTAATGCTATACCTAAATTTGTAAGTCGACGAGAAATAGCCATTGAATCTCCAGAAAACTGAATTCTTCAGATTCACCATAGTGGTCAGATGACGTTAAGTGAATAACTGCACTTGGGCCTTGTATGTGTGAGTGATGGACGCAAGGATAATTGCCTCACTTCAATAATGTTGGTTAGATATTGTTAACTCACAGAGAGTAGTAAAAGAAACGACATATAGGTAGTGAATTGCACATACGTAATACTTCGTAATATATATAGGTTAATCGTAACTATATACTGTTGCTATTTAAAAATGATACAACATATCATATGAAATGGTATCACTTGTATTCAAGTTTTTGCTACGATAGTGAGAATTTCAAAGTACTCTTAGATGTTAGAGGTCAATCGGCGAGAAACTTTGTTTGAAATTGTTTTCTTCAAGTTAGTATTCATCGTAGACTGACATCAGTCGGAGGAACAATGGGAATCTGGGGGCACTGGACAGCTGCTTCGTCTTAGTATGGGACTCCTCAGCAGTGCGCACCCACGACCATGCCAGGGATCGAACCAGCGACCCTCAGATCCCGTGGTCAGTACGTTGCCATTGAGCCACTGAGTCGAAATCCAATGGTCCATATTTCCAATTTCTGTCGGTTCACGACATAGCCCAACCGCCACCCAATGTCATCCTTGAGTAACTGTCCTCACGACCATCAGCCTAGCCCCACTGTGGTCACGACTTCTCATTGGAACTTCGGGAATCACCTCTCGAAGCTAGTCATCAATGAGAACCAGTTCAATTGGATTTCGACGGGGTCGTGGGGATTTAGGTTTTCATTGTTCTTCCAAATGATGTCCAGCCTACGATGAATACTAACTTGAATATATTTCTAAATCCCCACAACCCCCTCGAAATTCAATTGTTTTTTGTTTGCAGTCATCCATAAGTAGGGTCTATCTGAAACCTTGGTGAAATTCATGTTCCCTTGGAGATTTACGACTACACCATTCAAGTTATGACATACCACCCGTAGCAGTGAATTACATATACACAGACTGATAACCAGATGTAGCTTTCTAGTTCTGATCGATCAAGTTTCTCAATAGCTACTAGGCTTGATAGCACAACATTATGGTACACTGTGTTTTGAAGTTAAACGTTTTTAGTTAGACAAAATAAAGTTCATTATTGTGAACCTTTATTTTTGCTAATTTTCTGTCTTTCCTATAATTTTGATTTCACTTAGTAAAAAGATGAGCGCGTTGATTAGAGATCAATATAGTTTTAAACAGAAAAACATGGAAAATGAAACACTTACATATTGTGCTAACTCCTCACCAAGTGTGTCCAAACAACAGTACATAGGCTTAATATTGGTATTTGGTGATATTGCTGAGGCTAAGTCAAAACACAATGAAGTCAAATTTAATGTATCACAGGCTTGATTAATTGGTTTATTCAATTTAATATTGTTTTTACGACAAAAATATGATAACAGAGGTATAGTTTGACTTAAATATCGACGAATTTGTGCACGTTCACCAAGGAGATGTGCCAGAGCTTGTCGAGCTAAATGTGCTTGATGAATAGATAGGTTGGCACGTTTAACGGCTTCACTTGCAACAACACGACTAGCTAAACATTTTGTCTGCCAAACGTCAGCCGCAATTTCAGCCGTATTAGCTGCTTCTTCGAGGACAGCTTTTTGATGTGTAAAGCCTTCACTTTGACCGGAAAGATTAGCATTCTTTCTCATCAGATCGATTAGTTCTTGAGCTATATTTAGATTACCAGAGAGAGCAGACACTAGTAAATGCTTCAAGTCGGCATTAATCTAAGGAGAGAAAAATAGAAAAAAAATAGTAAATTATACAATATAAAGGTGGAAAACTAACTTAATATTTCAGCTCACATTACAATCTGCCTGCTCATTAGCTTGTTTGCTTGGTGTCAAACCGGTGGGTGAGAATTCAAACCTCCCTCAACCTGTTGAGATTTAGGCAGCAATATTGTATCACTGACTGTAACGCAACATATGTGGTTCAGTATCTAGGACAGGAAGCTCAACGTAGTTGCCGAGTTGCGTTTTTTTCTTTAAGCTATGACCAAAGCATCCATACTTCCTCATGATAGTTCCCACGACAAATCAATGTAAGGCGAAAAATGAGCTGAAAATCAGAAACCAGTGAGCATTATTGCAGTCTTCATCTTAAATTTATCAACAGAACCTACAGATGACTTCTTTGGAAATAGAAAAAAGGTTAGTAAATGAAAAGTCTACAAGTTACTAGATCCAAGTCACATAAGGAACGTTTTCATTGTTAATCAAATTCATATAGTTGGAGCTTATTCCTAGCGCACAAAAACTACTGAATTATAAATGATTGTCTAAAGTTTTCATATGGTTCAACTAAGAGTTGTACAATTACAGTGTCAAGGTGCACGAATGTTGAATGAGATTGAAAATATAATTTGGTCAAATTGACAACAAGGCTTCAACAGTTAAAGTACTATTTATGAAATCTAAGTATCATTCTGTTATGAAGCGAGACAATATGCCTTAAACTCCCCAAAGAAGCTTGGAGTTGAATGATCGATCGTGGCTAGCAGTAGAATCCAGGATGCACGTTTTGTCCTATTTGGGACTCGTGAGCTGGATGTACCTGCTTCCAAGCGAATGATGTTGTTCTCACCGGGATTCGGACTCGGGAGCGATCGCTTCAAACGCCAGAGCGAAATCCACTACACCACCGAGCTATTGCTAGCCACGATCCATCATTAATATGATTAAAACACAGGCAACATCGAGGCATCCTCATAGGAGCCCATATGCCAATAGAGACCGATCAATTCGGTCCAATCAACGACGGTATGATATAAAAACAATTATACTAAAGCTTAGAGTTTTCTGAAAGACTTTCATAACCAATCACCGAATGCGGAACATTCACAGAAAACCACGTGAATATATGTGTGAATTTTAGATTGGTTAAAGGGCTTTCTAAGAAAAGTGTAGAACATATCAATGCTATTGAAAACACATATAAACCGTTACTTTTTGTGCATTTTCGACTTAACAATAAACTTCTTATCGTTTTTGCCGCTTCTTTCTGTTTTCGAGGAACCGAGCAACCATCAAGGGTGAAGCCTAAGGTTATAGTTCAAGAAGCCACTCATTATATATATATATATATATATATATATATATATATATATATATATATAGGCAACAGGGACGGTTTCTCGCGAATGTTCGGCATGATATGATTGGTTGTGAAGGCTTCTCAAGAAATTCCAGGCCTTTTAAAAAGATCTTAGGGATATTGTCTCACTCCGTAACACATTCAAAACATATCTGAATGTTTTATGAGGGAGAAGAATATAAAGTGAAATCTAGAAAGCAATTAAAATTTCATTTTCAATGGTTATTCAACTAATAATCCAAGCAGAATGACAAAAGAGAGAGAGAGAGAGAGAAAGAAGCATAATTTGAAACACTTTTTCTAGAGTTCATTTATGAAGATTATAAAAGAAAGAAATCAAACGTAAAAATATATTGACTAAAAATAATGTATTTTAATTTTACACTTCGAAATTTTTAATTCAATAATGAGTAAATACAATTTATAAATAATCTATTCATGATCAAAAAATAATCTTTACCTGATATATTTAACAGACTTTTTCCTAAATCTTATTTCTGTCAATATTTGTTGTTACCTTTCTTGTTATTGTCGTTTGCTTACATTGCACAACTTGCTAATGGAAAGTGAAATACTACCCGTAAAAATATCTACTATACAAATAAAAGGTGAAATATGCAATAACTATTTAACGTAACTCTGAATAGTACAAGAACAAAGACATTTACAGAATAAAACGAGATCATTTTATTCCACATCCTTTCATCAGCTCCAAACAACCCTACAATTGAAATAAAGTATCGTAGTGGACGTTGCTGATAAGAATGGATATAAGTAGTGTATGTTGAGAGGATGACAGAAATCATAGGAAATTACCAGCAATGGGTAAGGATTCCGTCAAGAGAAACACAAGAGACAAGGCAGGCATATGAGGAGCAAACCATGAAAGAAGCAGAAGAGGAAATGAAGCATATTTTGCAAATGATGGTTTTAGTGCAAGGTGTACCATATTTAACGACTACTGTCCCACATGCTGACGATAAACGTCCCTTTCTTCGCACCTGTCTTCTTGTTCTTTTCAGTACTGATAGTAATAATGGCATAGCATACTTCAAACATGCAAAAATAAATAAAGATTTGAAATCCAGGATTAACATCAAGGTAGTGAGTCAAGTAAACACATGATTGTTAATCAGAAATCTTTGTCAAAATCTGATGAGGTAGAAAATTCTACAGCTGTGGAAACAGCGGGGGTAGGTGGGGAACAAACAAACAGGAGTGTAAGAGAGGGGGTTGTTAAAGAGCCAGTAGGTTACGTAACTACATGAAAAAACTGGGAAGTCGTTAAGTGATTAACACTCGGTAAGTACTTAATGAGGAGGAGATGGTGTAATCAAGAAAAGAAAGACTATACACACACATATGCAAAAATTATTTGCAGCCACCAAGGTAAGGGAAGGTTGATCACAGTGTCTTTTTGAGTACACATGTCACGTTAGAAACGTTTCATGACGAGAGCTTTCACACACCGTAGTAAACATCGCATTCTTTGTTTTTTGATTATCCTGAAGAATCGAGAAACATCTGTTTGGTGTTCTGTTTCCATCAGGTGGCTGGCAATTGCGTTCTTAAAGACCTTACTATCATTCAGACACAGATTTTTCGCAATATGCTCATGAAATCGAGTAGACGCCCTTCTTTTGGTACTTCCTATGTACTAGCTTCCACGAGCACAGGTGAATAGATGTACACACATGAATGTGACATGAGATGGGTATTTGTCTACATTCGAATGTCTTATTGAGCTTTCTGTATTGTAAACTGAGATCAATCTAGCAGCAGGAAAGTTCCTTCTCAGTGCAGCTTTTATTCTTCTGACTATTCTTCTAGATGTCTCATCACCTTTGAATGCTAGATGAAGAAAAACAGGCTTCTTCTCAACAGTTGTGTGTTTGGGTTTCTCAATAAATTCCTTTCCACGCTTCATTATGAATTTCTTTGGATATCCATCCCGTATAACAGTCTTATAAGTGATAAGTAATTTCTCTTCCTGTTTGTCTTTCGAGCACAGCCTTCTTATTCTAGTGAAGAGGGTTCAGACGTAAGCACGCTGACAAGACAGAAACTATTGTAGTGAAGTTACCGATCAATCCACGTGTCTTTTCTGTGGATAGTTTTCTCAACTGTACTATCACATCTCTGTCTTTTACTCGGATCCAAAAAGTTGAATGTCCTCATTTTCGTATTCCATTTTAAAGTTCACATTTGGAGCAGCTTGACTGAAGGTATTAAACAACTTTGACGAATGATTCATTATCACAAACAATGGAAGTATCATCAACATACCTGTAGTAATATGTTGTTTCCTAGATCACGGAGTCCAGACATGTTCATTGGAAACAAGTCACTAATTAATATAACAGCTAGGATAGCTCCTAGTGACGAACCCATAGACACTCCACCAGTTTGTCCACAAAGTTATCTATTAAACGGAAACTCAACACCTGTTGTACAGGGGAGCAGTAATTGTTTAAGTTCTGTTTTCAGCAATAGGAGCAGATCAGACTGTTGACGGATTATGTCTCTCTTTTCACCTATTGATATGTTCGTAAAGCTCTTGCCATGAAACGTTTCTAACGTGACATGTGTACTCAAAAAGACACTGTGATCAACCTTCCCTTACCTTAGTGGCTGCAAATAATTTTTTGCATATGTGTGTGTATAGTCTTTCTTTTCTTGATTACACCATCTCCTCCTCATTAAGTACTTACCGAGTGTTAATCACTTAACGACTTCCCAGTTTTTTCATGTAGTTACGTAACCTACTGGCTCTTTAACAACCCCCTCTCTTACACTCCTGTTTGTTTGTTCCCCACCTACCCCCGCTGTTTCCACAGCTGTAGAATTTTCTACCTCATCAGATTTTGACAAAGATTTCTGATTAACAATCATGTGTTTACTTGACTCACTACCTTGATGTTAATCCTGGATTTCAAATCTTTATCTATTTTTACATGTTTGAAGTATGCTATGCCATTGTTACTATTAGTACTGAAAAGAACAAGAAGACAGGTGCGAAGAAAGGGACGTTTATCGTCAGCATGTGGGACAGTAGTCGTTAAATATGGTACACCTTGCACTAAAACCATCATTTGCAAAATATGCTTCATTTCCTCTTCTGCTTCTTTCATGGTTTGCTCCTCATATGCCTGCCTTGTCTCTTGTGTTTCTCTTGACGGAATCCTTACCCATTGCTGGTAATTTCCTATGATTTCTGTCATCCTCTCAACATACACTACTTATATCCATTCTTATCAGCAACGTCCACTACGATACTTTATTTCAATTGTAGGGTTGTTTGGAGCTGATGAAAGGATGTGGAATAAAATGATCTCGTTTTATTCTGTAAATGTCTTTGTTCGTGTATTGTTCAGATTTGTCAAGGGAACTAAGTGTATAAGGTAAATTTGATCTAAACTTTTGCGTTCGAAGGATTTTCAGTATACATATTCATATGCGAAATACATTCCACTATAACAGTCTACGTTTAAGCTAACAAGGACTAATCCCCTGATACTGGAAATTCTTTCTAATTCAGTGAACATCAGTGTGAATATGTTCATCACATACTTTGAACTTGTCTCAGGATTCATTTAAATATAAAGTGCAAAAATTCTTCCATCATACATTTGATCTTTTCGACTCATCCTAATATGGATACGCTTAATCTGAATTTTTACAATAAACAGACAGAGGGCACACAGTATTAGTGAGGTGGATGAAATGTCCACTGGTTTATTAACACGCAAAATCACCAACAGAACAGTTTCGCAAGGCATTAGGATTCCTTAAAAAAAACTTTTCTTGTGATGTCTTGACTTTAAAAGATGATGACAGAATTTATTTAGTTTAGAGGTCTTTGAAGATTTATTGATTTCTATATTGTAGTGCACACTTATGACTTTATCAGGCATTGAAAGCAGGACCTTCGAGTTTCGCGGCGAACACGATACTGTTAGACTACTGAATTAGAAGCCAGTGGTTAATATCTCCCTACTTTTGTTAATTCGCGATGTAGTCAACAAACTTGAATTTAACCATAAAACTATAGAGTCTTTAGTAAAATCTGCTAAGTATAAG